CTGTCGATATTTTTCCTGTCGATATTTTTCCTGTCGATATTTTTCCTTTCGATATTTTTCTTTTCGACCAAACTACGGCACACCGAATCAACTTCCTAAGCTTCATAGACCATGAGGCAATCGTTAAACACTAAAAATGACTATAAAATGATCATTTTCTGCAGATATCAATGTTCCTTGGACTGAATTTCCGGAAACGGGAATTTTGAAAACAGAATATTTGGACTTTTTTATTTTTTAGTATGTTCTATCGATCTAGCGCACAAACAAAATACTATACAATTTGACAGATAGAGACTATGGTAATCGTTCTGGTGGACTCTCTCTTAACAATGCGAACATGCATTCAAGTCGACATCTAAGCAGTAAATGATATGCAAGTGTTCTCACCTGCATCCAATACTAACTATTCACTCAATCAATATTCACTTGTATTGTTTCATTATATCAGACTATACATTCATTCATCATCCTTAATATCTATTCGCATGTTCGATTGAACCTTCCAGATAAAAAAAACATTTCAACAACTCTTACACATTTAAATGAATATTGAGTTTTTGAACTCGATGATTTCCCCAATCGACGACATAGAGATTCCCGTGTCGATCAAATGACAAACCGATGGGCCCATTGAGTTGGTTCGATTGTTCTCTACTACCGTTTCCACCAACAATGACACTTCCTTGTGTGGCTCCTTTAGGCCAACGCATGATTCGATCATTCCCTAGATCAGCCACATAGACAGTGCCCAATTGATCGACAACGACTCCTTGAGGACCAGACAATTGTGTAAGACCATTTCCTTGTCCTTGACCACCAGCCACGACAATGCCTTGTTTTGCACCTTCCATCCATTTCATCACACGATCATTTCTCCAATCAGATACGTACACTGAATGATCTCGATCAACGAATACGTATGAGGGGTCAGAGAGTTGATCGAGACGATTTCCACTTCCATTGCCACCTGCAACCACTGTTCCTTGAGATTCTCCTCTTCGATATCGTCTCACTTCATCTTTTACATCATCAGTGACATAGAGAGATCCATTCTCGTCCATTGTCAAACCCATACAATCGATGTTGGAGATGATTGTTTCTCCACTTGTCCCATTTCGACGAGGCC